AACAGTATACTTTTATGCCATCAACAACCAAATATATTTCACGCTTACTATTTGAGATGCATGAAACATCAGGGACCACGCTGAGTTACTGACCTACATTATTTAGGTTCGTGCAGGTCTGCTCTATTATATTTGCACAATGACCAAATCACCCAGTGCAGTTTTCAGAATGCACGTCATTAGCAGTGCATGACTGTGACAGTTTCTAGGACTACCATGACAAATACCACAGATTGGGTGGTTTAAACAACAGAGCTTATTTTCTTATACCGCCAGAGGCTAGACGTTCAAGACCAAGTTGTTGGCCAGTTTGGTTTCTCCTGAGGACCATTTCTGTTTTGCACAAAGCTGTCTCATCTGGTCCTCACGTGGTCTGTGCTCTGTGCCCTTGCAATCCTAGTGTCTCTGACCAAATCACTTGGACTGCATAGGGTTCACCCACCCAACTCCAAACGCAGCCACATTCTGAAGTACTGGGGTTTAGGGTTTCAACATGTGAGTAGGGGGCAACACTGTTCAGTCCATAAACCTTGGACTTGTCTTATTTGCTTCTTTTTCCATCTTTTGGGGCTTTGATTTGCTTTTTTCATGGGACATTTCGTGGATCTGTGCTGGGAAGGCCCAAAGGTCAGTGGTGGAATCTAGGAAGTCTGTGCCAGCAGGATGAAGGATCTGTGCTAGCAGGCTGAGAGATCTGCACTCTTCACCCCTGGAGGAGCCTGGTACCTCACTGTTGCCGAGGATGGCTGTGGTACCTTTCAGGGGAGCTCTGGTTCTTCTGAGCGTCGCTTCCTGGCTCCAGTGCAGATGCATGAAACATGCCTGCATGAGATGTTGTCGTGGGCTCTGGGCCTCCAGTTGGATTCATGGGAAGCATTGCTATGGGCTCTAGGTCTTCAGCTGTACTCATGCAGGACATTATTGCGGGATCCAGGCCCTTGGCTGGATACTTGGTCTGTAGTGTTTGGACAGATTTCCTGCACTCTCTTGTATATGATTCTTTGGGTGACTATTAAAAATAATCTTATAAAATGTGTGTCCTGTATGATACTGTTCCCCTTGCAAAATATCCCCCACTCTCTTAACTTTGCATTATAATACATTTGAAAGTACTAAATTTTTTTGTTTTTAATTTTATTATTTTCCATTTACTTATGTCATTATGATAGTTGGAATGTGTCCCCAAATATTCATGTTTGAAAGCTTAATTCCCAATGTAAATATTTTGGGTCTTTTGGGAGGTGTTTAGGTCTGGAGGGCTCTGTCTTCATGAATGGTTCTAAGTCACTACAAAAAAAACTTACAGTTGTAAAACACAAAAAAGAAGACCCTTGCCACATGCAGTTGACTTGATCTTAAACTTCCTCATCTCAAGAACTGTGAGAAGTAAATTTTTCTTCTTTAATTTATTTATTTATTTATTTATTTTGGTCTTTTTGAGATAGGGTCTTGCTATGCAGTTCAGGCTGCCTTGAGCTCACTTTGTAGCCCAGGCTGGTCTTAAACTCACAGTGATCCTCCTGTCTCAGCCTCCCAAGTGCTGGAATTACAGGCGTGAGCCACCATGCCCTGCATTTTTTTCTTTATAAATGACCTACTCTCTTGTATTTTTACATCAGCAAGAAATAGACTAAGACAGCCACAGTCTTTGATATTAATTGCTCTACTAATTGTTAGCCAAACATTTAAAAGATAATGAGAAGCTCTGTACTAATGGATGAGTCTGGTCCATAAACTTCACTGTCGAGCATTTACTCTCAACTTTTGCTATATATTAAAATCACCTGAACTTCTGGGTAGTGGCGGAGCAGTAAGCAGTAAAGAACCTGATGGAAATTTGGTATCCAGATGCTGGAATACAGCTACATGAGGAAGAGAGGAAGGAGGGAAATGGGTCCCTGTGACCCCAGAAGGATTTGAAGTGAGAACTGAAGCCTACAGTGAGAGCAAAGAGAGAGACTTCAATGAAGAAGGAGGAGGTGGCAGATGGTGCATTCCCCTAAGTCCTGACTCACTGTGTGGGAGGAGTTGTTTGAAACTGCAGGCAAATGGTGACTACTCACAACCTCAGAGGCCTCCACAGACAAATGCACCAATGGAATGGAGCAGTGGGTGCAGTGGACTTCAGTGGCTGGTGAGTTATTTGGGTTCAGACTTCCCCTAGGAGAGAACAATTGCTGGTAGCCATCTTGGAGAGGGACCAACTGAGCTCAGAGCTCAGAACAGGGCAGGTCAGCTTCATTTAGTGGCTCCAAGAGTCAGGGTGAGGCTGATGAGTTCAAGTTGACAGGAGGTCAGGGAGCTCACTTCAAGCTGGCAGGGAGCCAAGGGTCATAAACAGTACTACAGGCCATTACCAAAGAATCAAGGTCTAGGCTGCACATGGTGGCACATGCCTATAATCCCAGTACTTGGCAGGCTGAGGTAGGAGGGTCATTGCGAGTTTGAGACCAGCCTGGGCTACAAAGTGAGTTCAAGGCCAGTCTAAACTGCATAGTGAGACCTTGTCTCAGAAAGACAAAAAACAAAACAAAACAAAACAAAAACAAAGAACCAGGGGCTAGACCAAGTAGGCAGCAACTTTTCATAAACTGAAGGGGTAGGATCTTGCAAACCCAAAAGCGAGTTGTACCTAGAAGACATCTCTGAGAAGTAGTCATTTCCTAAGTGTTCTAAAAATTAGCAATAAAGCTACTCACAATGAGCAGTTTATAAGCATCAACACAGGAATCAAATTAAAAAAAAAAAAACAGAAAATGAGAAGATATTTAAGCAAGATGCAACCCCATACTTCCAGCTCAACAAAGGCAAACCCAGGGAGCAATGAAGTGAAACAGCTTGAAAATCACCCACCTGGACTCTCTGAATTGGAAACAGCAGAACTAACAAAACAGATGAATGAGGCTCTACAAAAAAATCAAATCATAATTTCTCAGATAACACAGGACATTGTTTCTGAGGGCTCAAAGCTTGGGTGATCATCCTTTGTCCTTCAGCCTTGCTTCTCCTATATTTCTCTTCTGTTATTGCTATTTTGTCTCCTATCCCTCTTAAATTTCCCTTCCTCATAGGTTAAAATCACTCTACAAAGGGGACACAAGTTTCTGGTTTATATTGCATATTGTTATATAACTATAGATCTGGCTCCTTAATTACAGATATCAAAGTAGCAATTACCAGTTTGTCAGTTTCTAGGCTGTGCTTAATGATACTGATATTGCTAATTGTACTACTTTGGCCAGGATGCCATGTGCATGATCAGTTGTTCACCCTTGTACGAGAACACTGCGATTATCTGAGGTCATAAGCATTTCCATAATCCAGTACCAAAGGACTGGGTACTGAGCCAAATAGATGGTAACTTCTCTTCCCTAATAAAGTATGAAGGTAGAATCTTTGGACAGGCACAAAGACTAAGCACTAGCTAAAAGACACCTCTGTGGAATAGACATATTCTAGGGTAGCCTTGATACCCATGATAAAGCTACCTAACATAAAAAAAAAAAAATACAAGCAACAACACAGAAAACGAATTGAAATAAAAAAAAATAGAAAATGACAAGATGCAGAAGTAAAATACAACTCTAGACCTCCAGCTTACTCAGGACAAGACAGAGAACAATGTAATAGGGAAAATCAGGAGCCATCCACCTGAATTTTCTCAAATGACAGCTGCAGAAGTAAAAAACCAGATGTATGTGACTATAGAGGAAATCAGATCAGGAATAGCCTCTCAGAAAAAAAAAAAAAGAGATTATGACCATAATAGATGACTTGCTCAGCAAATCTAGAGTAGACATAGATCAAAAAGAGGAACATAGGAAAATGATGGAAACCAAGAATGAACATCATTGGAAATAAATGGGATCCATGAAACAGATTAAATGACACATTCAAGAAATTAAAACTTCCATTGGAAGTTTGCAAAACTCAGTAAAAGAAAATGAAGATAGAATATCAGGCCTAGAAGACAGGATCATGGTTAGTGATTTGAAAAAGAAAGATCTCTTAAAAATAGCAAGGGACCATGAAAAAACAATCCAACAGTTGCAAGATGATGCAAGAAAGAATGTAAGATTGATCAGAGTCAATGAAAAAGCTAGAATCAGCACAAATGAAATAAAGAACCTGTTCATAGTAGTAATGGCAGAATACTTCCCAAGCAGGGAAAAAGAATTTGACATAGAGTTAATAAGACATATAGAAGTGCAATCAGCCATGACCAAAATAAGTCTACACAAGGCACATACTACTCAGGATTCCAGAAATTAAGCACAAGAACAGAACATTTAAAGATGTTAGAGAAAAGAAACAAATCACCTATAAAGGAAAGCCCATCAGAAATACAAGACTTCATTCTAAGCAAGGGCAAGACATTTTCTATTGAAATTCGAATAGAACTACTGTCAAAAGTATCAAGCACTTTGGTAGTACTTTAGTATGTCTACAATTTTTTCCATGTTAGTAGAGCCAAGGGAAGAAATATCCCTGGAAAACTTCAGTGTCATATTATTTTTAGATCTTTACATAAGCTCCATTTATGTGCATAATCCATCTAGCTAGTCTCTTACATAGCTCTGAAATGTATACTGAAATCTACCTTTTTTATTTCAATAATTAACCTCCCCATTTTTGGTCACTATAGACTGCTCCTGGTGTTAAGTCCTCCTCAGCACTTTTTACTTTTAGATGTTTTTCCTTTTCCTTTTTAAATGTTTCTATCAAAACAAAGACAAATTGAAAGATTACAAAAAGAACTGTTTTGTACTGACTACTAGATCTGATGTGAGAAAATTAAATTTCATTTTTATGCCAGGTGTGATGGCACACACCTCTAATCCCAGCACTGAGGAGGCTGAGGCAGGAGGATCCTTGTGAGTTCAAGGCTGAACTGCATAGAAAGACCCAGCCTGAACTGCATAGAAAGACCCTGTCTCAAAAAAGACAAATAAATAAGTAAATAAATTTCATTTTTACTCCATAAATGTCCAGGGCTTTAGTCTCACTTCTAATAAAAATACACAGTCATTCATCATTTAAAATTTTTTATTAGTCTATTTGATTACTGGTATAACTTTTCATTAGTCTGTTTGATCACTGTTGGTTTTATACTCTTAAAGCATGTCTACTTACAAAAACATGGTACTTGGTTATCACTTAAAATGGTCAAACAGAGCTGAACATGGTGGCTTACACTTCTAAACCCAGCAGCTGGGAGACTGAGGCAGTAGGACCACTGTGAATTCAAGGCCAGCATGGGCTACATAGTGAGTTTAAGGCCACCCTGAACTACATAGTGAGAGCCTCTCAAAAAAATGGTCAAACTTACTGATTACTTAGAAACAAGAGATTATTAGCATATTTCAAAAAAGAAAAAAACTGAAAAAGCTTTTATAGCTAAAATGAAAATAACCATGTTTAAGTCATTTGGAATGACAAAAATACTGCTTTAAGACAAAATCTATGTTTCAATCCAGCACATCTTTAAAAAGTCCACTTCATCAATGCACAGAAATTTCCCACCCTTTTAAGGACCACTTCTAGTTTTAGGTACATTTTCCTAAATTTTTGTTATGTATTTTTTTTTAAAACAATAGCATCTGTTTTGAATAAATAAAAAATGTGTTAAATGGCAGTGTCTGTTTAGATATCAGGGGGCAAAAAAGTAGTTTCAGTATTTTTATCATCTTAGGTAATATATTTAAAAGTCATGAAAAAGGAGTAACATGTGGAAAGTTCCCCAACACAGGATAATTTGTAGAAATTATTTAAGTTAAAATAAAACACTTAAAGTATGTATCTTTTAGGATCTGTCAGTTCTAATTTCTAAAGTGAAAGTCATATTTTCATTTCTTAAATATATGCAATCAAGCTCCTTTAAAATATATGCAATACTGACAAAAATACAGTTCTGCATTACAATGCTGAAAAGGGAATAAAAATAGATATAGTTATACATGGAAAAGTGAACACTTCAATCAAATGAATAAAACAGACACGAGGCAGAGTCAACATCTTAGCATAAAGGTGTGTGGTAGAGAGAGTAAGATAACGAAAGCTTGAAAAGAATGTCTCTTTTAGAGAATGAATTCTCACTAACATGAGAAGAAAAGAAAATGTTTCCCTCTATTACCAGAAGATGCAGGACTTATCGAGAGGGGCATCAAGTGAATATATTCACTAATGATGTAAGAGAAGAAAGGTTTATCATATCAGACAACAGACACTATTTGTGTTTTATGCTAGAGATACTATTCAAAACCTAAACTCTGGAAATTTGGAACAAAACCACTCGTATTGGTAACAGGTTGATGGATTTTTTTTTTGTCCTTAATGTTTCTCTGAAATATACTATGAATGACAATATTTTGATGCATATAGATGTACTTTATTCAAACTACTACATTGTTCTAGGTTACATAGGTGGCTTTGTTTGAGCTGGTACAACAAAATACCATAGACTGCAAGTCTGAGATCAGTGCCGGTCAGGTTTTCCGGAGGGAACTCTTCCCAGCTGTGGGTGGCTGCCTTCTTGCTGTGCTCTCACACGGGGCAGAGAGCAGCTCGATCGCATCTCTTCCTTAAAGCACCTAATATCCTCAGGGCTCCTTTCACGTAACCTCACTTACCTTAAATTCTTTCCTAAGGGCCCCACCTCCAAATACATACTGGTGGTTAAACCTCAATATATGAGTTTTGGGAAGATAGAGGAGTCTGTAGTCCATAAAGCATGTGATAAGACTCTGTTTGGAATAGTAGGAGGGAGGGAAAGAGGAAGCCAGGAGTATGAAGCGGAGTTTGGAAGCAGGGTTATGAACTTCCCAGAGAAACGCAGTGACACTGCTGGGCCCACTCGAGGTCAGTCTATTTATACGTTTCTCCATCTCCTAACGTTGAAACACAAGATGGAAAGTGGTATTTGAGTAAAAGCAGGAAATGGGGTTCAAGGAAAGTGAGAACAGACAGAAGAGCAATTGTCAAAGGTTTTGCAGAATGACTACATCAGAGCAAGGATGAAGCAACACAGAGAAGGGGTGGTTTTGGTTATCTGCTGCTGCCCAGTTATCTCAAAACTTTGGCTTAAAACAAGCACTTCATTTTGGTCACAATTTAAGGAATCCTTAAAGAGCCTAGATAAATGATGTGTTTCTGCTACATCTGGTATTATCTAGAGCAGCTCTTTTTAAAAAACTTTATCCCTACTGTAAAATCTATCATCTTAAAGTATACAATTTAGCAGTTTTAAAATACATTCACAAATTTGTGCGACTATCACTGCTGTCTTATTTCCAGAACATTTTCATCACCCTCAAAGGAGGACCATGCGCACCAAGCAATCACTTCTCATCTTCCCCTTGCCCCAGACCTGGGAAGCACTAATCTTTCTGTTTCTATGGACTTGCCTATTCTGGAATTTCTCAGAAATGAAGTACATAGCCTTTTATGTCTGGTTTCTCTCACGATGTTTTCCAGGCTCATCCTTGTCAAAATATGAGAACCTCCTTTTTTGCAGAGCCAAATTAGTACTCCACTGTATGGATATGTCACGTTGTTTAGCGATTCATCAGTTGATGGGCACTGGGGTTATTTCATCTTTTGGATGTTAAGAATAATCTTGCTATAAAATTTGCATACAAGCTTTTGTGCAGACATAAGGTTGCAGTTCTCTAAGGTGTATTATCTAGGGGTGGAGTTGCTGGGTAATATGGCAACACTGTATTTAATTATTTGAGCAAGCAGCTGGGTCTTGAGGATTTGTTTCCAACATAGCAATTTTATTCATGTCTGATGTCTTCTTTAAAGTCTCTACAGGTGGCATGGAATTTTCCAGTATGATTTCCAGGTAACCACAGAACCTAAGAGAGGAAGTATTCTAAAGAGGAAATGGAAAATGCCAGGCCACTTTAAGGGCCAAGTCTGGAACTGGCAGAATCATTTTATATTCTTCTGGTCAAATTACTCAAGACATGCAGGAACAGAAATAACTCCGCCTCTTAATGGGGGTACAAGGTCACACTACAGAACAGCATATGGGTAAATTCTTTCAAAAAACTAATCTAGTCAAAGCAGTAATATAGATATCATCATGCCATATAAAATGTAACAGATGGTGTTACAGTGCTATAGAAGTACTTTACTGCAGGCCACAGAGGAAACAATTTTGACTGGAAAACAGGGATAAAATTCTACTAATGTTGAAGTGTAATTCTGACAGACTGGTTCAGTTCAGGGAAAAAAAACAAGCTGTAAACAGAGGGACGACATGTCTGGGTCTTTGGGAAATGCTAAGAAATCCAGTGTGGGCAAAACACAGGCCAAACACAGTCACAGAGGATGACAGACAAAATGGTAACAATTTGGCTTTATTTTATAGGTACTTGAGAGTAATTTTAGATATCTGAGCTACAAAAGTTACATGGTAGATGGCTGCTAAGAGTTAGATCTGTCCTTTAGATTAAAAGCTGATGGCAGGATCTAGCATGATGTGGAAGAGAAAGACTGAAACAGATAAGATTATCTAACAGATTCCTGTAGTAGTCCAAATCAAACGAAGCAGGCCAGGATCTGTTTATGTAACTGAGAGGTTAATTGGGTTAGGTTGAGAACATCCTCAACTGATCACACAAAATCAGAGAAAATGCTTTTTACTTAGATTTATCAAGTTAAACAAAATACATCCAGGTACATAAATTACTCCTGGAAAACCTAAATTTAAGCAAATACAAAATTAATATGTACAGTGCTAAAAACTGAGTTGAAACATTATGTAATTGAGGCTTAAGGTTAATATCGTTTCACTTGTACTATTGAAGTAATAGCAAAATGCAACATGAGAATATTTAAAAGTTGTCCCTCCCCCATGGTCACCTTATAAAGACACCGCTAATCTTTTTATAATTAGTTAACATACAGTCAAACAGTATTACTTAATTTTATTCACTGGAAGAAACAGATATGTAAAAAATAATTGCTATGCATCTACAAAGTAGGTGTTGTATATTCAGAGTTAACTAATGCTTATTGAGCACCTCCTATTTTCCAGGTCCAAAAACCTGTTTGTTACCCTATAGAATTTGCAATACCATTCTTTAAGATACATAATACCACTTTTCACTTAACACATGAGAAAATGAAGAATCAGACAGGAACTTGCTCAACACAATAGGCAATAACATATTTTTCTGACTGCCAAATTTTGGGGAACATATATAGCATCTATTTTTCACATTTGTGTCACCACAAACTCTGTTATTCATTTATTTTTCTTAAATTCGTGCAGATATAAACAGTATTTACATTTATATAATGATACCTCTTTTCTAAGAGAATAACTTTGTCTTTCTAAGCTCATCACCAGTTATCTATAATTTCTTGCTCATAAATTTTAATAAAATATACATAAGTGAGAATTTATAACATTATTTTGGATTTATAAAATGACACAGGCATAGACTTTAAAAGCTATCTCTATAAAGAAATAGATACAAACTATGATTTCTAAAATATATTTGTATGTATTTAAAATGAACGTCATTAAAATTTTTGGTTTATAACTTTATAAATAAAAGATATTAAACTTAAATAGCTATGTATTATGATGGTCAGCTATATATAAAGTACTAAATATATATTCTTTCAAGTTTAAAGTACCTCTCTTAAGAGTTGAACTCAAGGGAAATAAAATTATATCAGTACCTTTTTTTTTTTTTTTTTTTGCCTTTTTGAGACAGGGTCTCGCTATGCAGTTCAGGCTGGCCTTGAGCTCACTTTGTAGCCCAGGCTGGCCTTGAACTCCCAGAGATCCTCCTGCCTCAGCCTACCAAGTGCTGGGATTATAGGTGTGCCACCACACCTGGCTTTATATCAGTATTTTGTTATACATTACAGATACATAATAATACGCCAAAAGTTCAATACAGAATTAAATAAATATTGAAAATAATCTAATACAAATCCTATCCCACTTTTACTGTTTAAATTATCTTACAGAAAATCTGTTCTATGCTGAACGTGACCAGTATATATGGCAAATATGTACTGATAAAAAACATAAAGTTAAAAAACAAAAAAAGGAAAATTGTCTAATGAAAGTATTTTAAAAGAAAGGGAATAAAGCTGGGTGTGATGGTATACGGCTGTAATCCCAGAACTTGGGAGACTGAGGCAGGAGCATTGACAAAAATTTGAAGCCAGCTTGGGCTACACAGTGAGTTCAAGCCCAGCCTGAACTACGTAGGAAGACCCTGTCTCCAAAACAAAACAAAACAAATTTCAAAACACAAAAAGCACGTATTTGTTGGGTGTGGTGGTATACGCCTATAATCCCAGCACTTGGAAGGCTGAGCAGGAGGACTGCTGCGAGTTAGCCAGCCTGGGACACATAGTGAGTTCACGGTCAGCCTGGACTACATAGTGAGACTCTGCCTCAAAACAACAGAAAAAAAAAAAAAATCTTATAAATGCCCTTATTTTACAGATTAGGGATTGAGATTTAAAGTAAATACTTAAATCATATACCAATGGTAGACTCAAAACATAATATTCTGGGCTGTTTCAACCATATCTTAGTTCTTTTATGACCAAATCCTACTGTTTATTCACTAATATTTTGACTTTAGTGTGGGAAATTATCCAGTACTGAAACTATTTTTTATTTCCACCCAATAACTCTCAAACTTTTGTGTTACTAATGTGCATTTTCAGAACAGGATATAGTTCATAGTATTAGAGCGCTTTTATAGCTTCATTAAAATGAGAACTTCATATAGGAAAAAGTTCCCATTACATATAATTCTTTAAATTATAAACCTCTTTACATCATAGTGACTTCATATGTTGTGAAATGGTTTTCTATAATTTTGACATTTTCTTCAGATAGCCAGTTTCCCTGTTTTAGCTGGCTTATAAGTGCTTCTAAAGACTTCAACCTACCTAGAGTTTTCTGTTCCTGTAGCTCAAGGAGAGTTATCTTTGAATGCAGCTTAGAGACTTTTTGCCATAAATGTTCCTTATTTATGTCTTGTCTGCAGTAAGAATGATCAATTTGTAAAACTTCTGCCCCATGATCTACATCTTTATATAAGCAATCTTCAATATCTACGTCTTCCATTTCCACGGTTTCTTTTTGGGTTGGTACAAAAGAATTAACAGGATTTGAATTTTCTGTGGGTACAAAAATGGCAATAAGAGACTCTTTGTCTGTGTTTAATTCTTCTGCCGCTGGGTTGATTGTGCTGAACAAGAATGGATTTTCCCGTGAATTAATTTTCATGGAATTATTTGTAAGATTTGGATTAAGATGATTGGTAGTTATTTCAAGCACTTCTCGGGTTTCCAAAGACTGCTGAGTACCTTCTCCATTTGAAGTTGTCAAGGTAATAGTTGTAGAATTTTGATTCTCAAAACCATTTCTACCTGAATCTTGGTTGACTGATGTTTTCAAGGTAGATTGGGGTGTTTTGGTATCTTGTTTAGTTACATTAAGGGTTAACATGTTATTCTGCATACCTCCTGTTTTTGGAGCTGGTGGGCTCACCATGGCATATGAATCAAGTAATTCTGCATGTTCAGGGAACACAGCTGTGTTAACTGTATTTTTCTTAGCCTCATTTAATGTAAATGATTTTTCTGACTTGGCTTTTAGACACACTTCGTCCTCATCTTCCACTATTTTCTTCTGAGATTTTTTTTTGGAAGGGTCCTTTCCCTGGAAAATAGTATTTTCAAATTTTAAAAAAGACACCCTTATCAGCTTATTCTCTTATTAGCATTGATTGTTCAATTATAATTTTGAGCAGTATATTGGCAAGCAAATTTATTCAGTTAAAAAAAGTTTTCTAAGTATGTAACAAATATATCATAATGTTTTTTAAAAAAACATGCAGCCCATCAATATGACAAAAGCATTTCATATCATTCTAATGACCACTTTAAAAAACTTAACTCTTTAATTTATGTTAATAACTTTTTTTTGGTCTTTTTGAGACAGGGTCTCACTATGCAGTTCAGGCTGGTGCTGAGCTCACTCTGTAGCCTAGGCTGGCCTCAAACTTGCAACGATCCTCTTGCCTCAGCCTCTCGAGTGCTGGGATTACAGGCATGCACCACCACGTCCAGCTATGTTAATAACTTAATAATTCATGTGCTATCTTCTGATTCTCTTAAACTGTGTTTCACAACAGTTCAAATTTGATAAAAATCATCACACTTTAAATAAAAGCAAATACCAGTGATCCTTATTCTCACGATCTGTTTTCCCAAGTTATCTTGCCTTCTCACTCTCTCTGCCTCATCACCTGCCACCCTGCAATGTGCCCTTGAAATGTGCCACTCTGTTCAACCCAACCCTCCACCCCCAACTCCAATACCTGACAGTCTTCAGGCAAAGAAAATATTGTTGGAACTGCAGTTTGTTTTAAATAACGAATACCCCATCTGATGTCAAGAGAATCAGGAGTAAAATGGTCACTACACAGGAACTGGTATTTACTGGGAACCCAAGAATCCCGTTTCATATTCTTTAACCACTTTTCAAGTCTTTCTTTGTCATGTAGAGGAAACCTGAAAATAAAAAAAAAAAGAAAAACTTTACTATGTTTTTTATAATTTTGCCAGATGCCAGGCCTGTATGTCTAGGTGTTCTATTTGTCAAGTGTTGCAAAGGCAAAGCAGGTATCCTTATCAAAAGAGAGCATCTTTATAAGAACTACCCCCCACCTCTAAAGAAAACTAAGATATGACATTTAGCCAATGATTTTGTCTGAGACCAGCTTGTAAATATAGCTCAGCAATTTTCAAGTAAAATATATATTCTGTGAAGGATAAAATCCATTCTTTTTATGGATCATGTTCCACTTTTACTTTGTTGTACAACGAACAGGAAGTAGGAAGCAGAAATTGAAAGGAGCTTATAAATTAGAGTCTCATTCAAATATATTTCATATTAATTCCACAAGTCAAATGGTTTATTGTTTATAATTTTAGGCAACATTAATCTTTAGGCAACTTATACTAATATTTTTAATACAAGGAAACATTAATTCAAACAAATGGTTTAACTGAATAAAATGAATACTGTCAAAAGACTACTAATATTCCATTCTCTTTACTGGCATCAGCTTCAATTCTATCTACATGTAACTTAAGTCTAGTATTTTTGACTTCTGTAAACAACAGACTAGGAACTCTGAAGTTCTGAAAAAGGAATTCTGAAGCAAGAAAAGATGTAAACATGTTAAAAAGAATAGACTCATGTTTTACAAGAAACAAATCAAATATAAAAGACAGACGAAGGCAAGACAGCTCTCATTCTATTTTGTTCCTATACTGACAATAACCTGGATTTAAAGGTGGCTCTAGTATATTGCAATGCAATATTGTATAGTTAGGTAAAATTGAACCAATGGCATAATTTGGTAGAAAAATTTTTTTACTGTTGAAACAGATTTGATTTCAAGTATACTACATGCCTGTAATCCCAGCACTTGGGAGGTTGAGGCAGGAGGACTGCCATGAGTTCAAGGGCTACATAGTGAGCTCAAGGCCAGTCTGGACTACACAGTGAGACCTTGTCTCAAGTAAAATTAAATTAAAAAGATAAATAAAAGGAAGTATACTAAACACTAGTCTATAGTGATTTATATTTGATGATTTTCTGAAGAACACAGTTGAACACATATATTACATAATAATTTCCTCTTTTTATTATAACTTTTTTTTTCTTCGGGTACCAGGATTCGAACTCATGACCTTGTGCTTGCCAGGCAGGTGCTGTGCCACTGAGCTAAATCCCCAGCCCCAATAATTTCCTATTTTTAGGGGACATGTTTGGGGCTAAATTAAAAAACACTAAATTTTTCACTTGTTTCTTTTTACTTTTTGTGGCTAGTAGAAAATTTTAAATTACTGATGTGTCTTGTGTTCTATTTCTGTTGTACAACACTATAATTTCCTATCAAATCTCTCATACAAATTGTAGCTATTATACATCCCCTCCTATTTCAAACTGTTTAGATTATGCTTGTAGTAAGGAGTATATTTTTTCCCCTAAATTTTGTTAAGTTTGTAAGATTGTAGGGAAAAGACTGGGTGTTTTATAGGAAATAATTTTTAACACTGATACGGTTAGGTGGAAAAACCAGATAATCCATCTTTGGAAGTTCTCACCATAAAAACAATATTAATGTTCAGAAAATATTTTAAGCTTGCAAATAAATAACTTGGTTTAAGTATGACAGGCATAATGAGCAAAGGCATTTAAAAACTAAAAGAATTAAATTCAACTTTTTGGTAGATCTAAAGTGAGACTATACCTTTTATAATAATGCTTTTTAAATATGAATTCACCTATAAGAATGCTATTTGCAAATTCCATTTTACCTATATTGTAAGTTTTCATACCATAAAAATTATACTTTGTGAATATCCTGATTGGTAAATACATTATACTATTCCCTCAACAGATAAATGTTTTAAGAACTTGCTTGGGATATATTTCTAGTACCTTTTTAGAGATTCAATTTGTTAATTGGTAACTATGCACTTCTTCCAAAATACCTAAGAATCACAGTATGATAGGACACTATATGCATGCATTTACTAGATTACTAAATTCGTATACATTTGTTTTTAGCATGAGAAAATTTAGTTCTTAAAGTTTGGTGCTATTAGAGGGAAGAAATCCCGATTTTTTTTATTATGTGAATTACATAGGTAGTTAAAAAAATCCATAAAAATAAAAAAACTTAGAATTTATATGTGAAGAAAAAACTTTTATAATTCATCTTTATAATTAATTTGCATTATTATGTTTCTTCCTCAAATATGGTAACTCTGAGGTCCACAAAGATTAATCAGAAAGACTTAGCTGGGCATTGTGGTGCACACCTGTAATCCCAGTACTCAGGAGGCTGAGGCAGGAGGATCCTGAGGCATGAGGGCAGCCTGGGCTACATAGTGAGTACAGGCCAGCCTGAACTACATAGCAAGCCTCTGTTTCAAAAAAAAAAAAACAAAAACTGTTTTTCACTCTGGGATTATGATTCGCCAACGTAAGGCCAATTATATGTGAGAATTAGTTTAACATGATCTTTTGCCACAAACCACCTCAGAGCTACCAATAATGTAATAGCACTACCTGCCTATTGCCTATTTCCTTCCAAAATCTCTCAGTATCTTGTGAAAGGGATTCAAGGAGACAATTCTTGATACACTGCCATGTAATGTGATTTAGGGCAGGGTTATAAAGTTCCCTCCCCCATTATTATGTAGGATAATGGAAAGCAGCTAAACCATTAGTGAATGATAGCTTCAGGTCTAAAATAAAACTGGATTCACAACATAATTATTAAACATTCAGCCCCAAATGAAATTATTTTTAAAAACAAGAAAAAAATATATTTTAAATTTGTTGATTTTCACAGGTTTTTCATACACATTAAGCACGTACCTCCAGTCAGTACTGCTTTACCTCTTCAAACAGTAAGCTTGAGGTAAGTTCTACTCATCCCTCATAACTCCCAGAGCTAAATGTTTTGCAGGTCATTCAGAAACAGTAACGGAACAAGGATTTTAAGTCAGGAGGTGTAGTCTGGGAGTGCGGGCTCTTTATTATACAAAAACACCACTTCCCAGTTCTTCTGCACAAACATCAGTACTCCTGTAATTTCAAGTTAGTATTTCGTGGTCCTAGTCATTCTGAATTAACACCTTCTTTTTTGTACTAATGAAGGGTATGTACACCTCTTAACAGAACGCAGGTGACAACTGCATCTGTGACACACAAAAAAATTTTTTTTCCGTCTTTTTGAGACAGGGTCTCGCTCTGCAGTTCAGGCTGGCCTTGAGCTCACTTTGTAGCCCAGGCTGGCCTCGAACTCGCAGCGATCCTCCTGCCTCAGCCTCCCGAGTGCTGAGATTACAGGGGTGCGCCACCAAGTTTGGCTCTGTGACACAAAACTTTCAAGGTCGGTGGGTTATCCGATCTCTCTGGCTTCGATTTGCTCAGGAGAAAAATGCGACTAAAGCATCTCTATGCGACAAGGCACGGAAACTGGCAGGTCCGATGAGATTCAACCTAAATGCCGGGAAACGTCTTTCAGTGAAATGAGGTCAAGGGAGATGAGGGAAAGGCTCTGGAAACCCGGGCACCGCGCCAACTATGAACTCTTCAAACCCACACAGGCCCCTACGGCTCGCCAGTAGCCGGCGTCTGCAGAGGTACAGAGAACCCAAGCCCCGGGGTGCTGCGCCGTGACCAGACGCGGAACCACAGAACTGATTTCTAGACCTGCCAGGAGACACCCGGACTGCGGCCTACGGGCGAAAACGCTTCTGCCCGGGGAACAACTTACGGGTAAAAGCTCAGTTTCCGATCTTTACTGTTTCGCCCCCGGCGGTTTTTACAGCAAGTCGCTGCACAATAGCGGGGCATCACTCGGATAACCACCGGGGCACCCCGGCCCAAGGGAGCCCTCCTCGCTGAGGCGGGGCCGCAGGTCCCAGCCACTGGAACCACCGCGCCTGCGCCAGGATCCCGCTCAGCCGACGGAAGCCGGAACCAGAGGCTGACTTCCGCCTCTGCTGGCGCTAGTACCGCCCCTTTGGTGGAGGGACCGGAAGTGACGCACAGGCAGAACGGCAACAACAGTTTTCCACGTGCGCGTAGGGCGCCAAGGTCAGGTGGGAAGCGAGAGCCAATGGGAAAGCGTTTCGTGTAGGTCACCTCCTGAGGCGGTGGCGCCAGTCCCTGAACGCCCGCCCGTGGGGAGTAGGCAGTGGAGGGACGCGGCGGCCGCGGCGGAGGTGGGAGCGCTCGGTGGCCGGGGAAGCCGCAGCAGGGCGCGCGACGGCCCCTGGAGACCGCGGAGGCCGGGGTGAGGACTCGGGGCCCCGCGAG